GTCATGGAGTATCCAGAACAATACACCAGATGGGTAGAGCCCCACCACATCATGCAGATGGCTCAGCTAGCAATCTCAGCAAGAACTGATCACCAGTGTGACAAACTAGGTGACTGGAAGGCACAGTGTCACTAAACTATGTCAATGCTAAACCAGAAAAAAAGACACTTAAGATGGAGAGTTTATGTTGCTAAGCTTCCTGGAAGAAGTGTCTTTAGGAAGACTCTAACTGAGGAGAGGGATGATTACAGAAAGCAAAAGTGTGACAAAAGGGAACTACTGCAGAAGATAAGGGGCAAATGACAAGAGAAAGATAAAGGGACTTGGTAAAGCCAAGTGACTGAAATAGCAAGTGAAAAATTCTCCCATTTACTATTTTAAGAATTCACCCTGAGGCATAACTGTGGGAGAAAATGCATTAGCAAAAAAAGTAAGAAACTGTGGAATTTAGAAGTGGAGCTGCACAGGAATCAAATGTTCAAATTCTTAGAAGCAACAGCAACTATGGTGGCCTTAACATATGCAGTGATTTTTCAATGTAAGTAGGTAGAAGTTGATCAAAATATGGTCTGTTCTATTCAATATATCCACATGAATCCCTTCTGGAAACTGTGTTGAAAGAAGCCAATAAATATCAATGGCATACTTGATCTTCAGTATTAGCCAAGTATGTTATAGCATGCTAAGTGTTCCTTTTGCAGACAAATTAGGGGGTAGGAGGTGGGAGCTTTTAATGTAACAACAGACTTAGATGGCACTTTTCGTACTTGCTTTAGACATCTAGGAGGTAGGTATCTATTTTGTCAAGGCTCTTCAGAGTCCCTTTATAGTCAGTATGAATAAGCAGACATGCAAACTGACTTATGTTTGATGTCTTCTTTAAAGGCAGAGGAATTGCTCCCTAAAAGTGCCATCTCTCTCCCATGACTGAGACCAGCCTGGGACAACTCCCTGTTTGCTGTACAGTGTTTTCATGTGTGGTGTTCAGTGCTTCAACCAGAAGAGGTGTTCCTCTCACTATGAGTCATATTTTCAAGGCAGTGATATGAACGGTGTTCCATTTCAACTTGATAATAATTCTCTTAACTTGACCAGTGAATTATAAATAATGTTTTCATTTTCAAAAAAGTGAAACTAGATGTGGCTCAAGGATTGAGCTTGCAAGTTTTAATTTTTACCTGCTAAAAAAGTGACCAAACTTTAGATATCTTTTGATTACTACAGTTCTAATAGCTGCATTTCTAAATCAGAATAATTTGAATTAGGAAGGAACCATATAAGGTCTTTCTGGATATGTTTCTTATTTAAAGCAGATAGGAGTTCTTCCAATTTCTCTGTCCGCTAAAGTCAATTTGCAAACTCAGTCTGGCAGCTGCTTTTACGTGCAAAGATTCTGCATGCAGAAGGAGATAAATTTGTCCAAAAGGACAAGTTTCTGAGCCTCTGAATACCATCACAACTACTGATGAACTGGCAAGTATTAGTTAACCTGAAATCATAGACACAGGGTCTGATTCATATATATACATATATTAGCTAGACATAATACCTAATTCATAGTAATATCTTTAAAGTGGATTTAAATGTCAATTACATAAATGGCCTTTTATATTACAAATGCAATGCCAAAGTACCTGTAAGAAGACTTGTATATGTAACAAAGAAGTCAGGTAATTTAATCATAAAGTAAAACATAATTGCAAAATTGCACTTCTTAGAAGTTATTTGGACTTTACAAATTTTGCATCAAAAATGACCCAAACCTATTTCATCAGAAAGAGGAAAATATATGAAATTTTTCAATAAAAAGCTACATTTCATTTATTAAAATCTAGGAAGCCTGTGGCTTAGTGTCAGGAAAACCCTTTCAGATTTTGTTACAGCAATAGAGAAATAAACTATTTGCAAAGATTATGAGTTTATAAATCTAACTGAATTAATTTGCTACACCACGTTGTTTTCATTGCTTCTTATTGGACTTGAGTTACACTCTTTACATGCATGGCTCTGCATCTGAAATCCAGCAGAAGTCAATATCCTGCTAAATAAATTGAATTCTTGAATGTTTTTCATGGGCTTTGTCCAACATAGTTCATTATTTGTTTTTATTAGCTTCAGGTTTCCTATTTAAGCTTATGGTTGTGAAATCAGATCTACCAGTTTTTTGCTAGAGATTTTATTTTATCACATTGAAAGTATAATTAATCATTATTTGATAATTAAATATTAATTAATTAATTAAAGATTAGCCTCCTGTCTTTCAGTATGACACACTTAAGCAAATAGCACTATGGTAAGCTAAACATTTATATTCATACTAAACTCCTAAATAGAAGCAGCTGGACATAACAAGAAAAAACAAAGGTTACAGGATGAAAACCAGTAGGTCACACCTTTGGGCACTGGGAATAATAGATTGAGTGTCTGTTTCTCCATGTAAGTGTATCTCACTCATACCACTTCTGTAACTGAAAGATTTTATTGGATAACAGGACCGAATTAAAATAGAGTAAATTCTTGTTCAATAAGAAGTAACGTTCTTGACATGCTTTAAACTGTTCAAAAGTCCAGAAGGC